CCCCCGCGACGGGAGTCTTTGAGTGTACCGAATACCATTTTGGAGGCTAGAGCTCCAGCTACACTGTTTCACTGGATAGTGGATACTTTAGCCTTGGCTTATGCCTCAGCAGGCTTGCAGTGCCCTATAGGTGTGAGGGCCCACTACACTAGAGGAATGACCTCCTCCTGGGCTTGGTCCAGCAAGATTTCGGCTTGCCGTCGGCTCCTCCCTTTTTGGTGGGTTGAAGCACCATTGGTTCATGCAGCTACTCGAACGTGAACAAATCAGGCTTCGGTACCAGAGTAAACAGGAGTTTCCCCATAAGCGTCTACTTTTTATGTACTTCTCAGAAATATACTTAAAATGACATTTAAGTATATTTGAATTATACTTTAAAAAAGTCTAATTATATTTGAGCTATACTTTTGCTCCTAGAATCTGTGTTTTCATTGTTATATGGTAGGGGGCACTAGTACACATCTTCTGTACAAACTTTCCAAAAAAACACAAGTGAAGAAGAAACTGAAACAATAGATGCTTCCAAATGTAATCTAACACGATCATCAGACATAAAACAGCATCAAAACTATGTAACATTATGGAATAAAATGTCGACCAATGAAGAGGTAATAATGACTGTCAAGCTTTGGGGTGTTGATCGACTCCATCTACATTTTGATTATATCATTCTGAATCCAATTCATAGTCTTTTTTCAGCTTTTTGTTCAAAATGTTGTTTATTAATTTTTTATTTATTTATAAAACTTACCCACATTCAAGTATTTTAAAAAAGAATGCATGAAGCTAGAATAAAATATTTTTGTTTACAAGCAGATACCCTGTTCTTTTTTTGATGTTTTGTATGTTATTGTATGTCAGATATTCATATAACAAAATGTATACAAATTAATACCTAAATAGGGACATAGTAGTATACTTACAGTATGATGTAAAGTTCACTTAAAGAAAACTTACGAGTATACTTGCAGTATAAAACTACTAAACTAGTAGTTTACTGAGATTATACTTCAAAGTGTACTACAAGTATTTAATTAGTAAACTATCAGTATACCTATAAGTTCACTTTTAGTATAGTTGCAGTACAAGCTAAAAACATTGATGTAAACTAGTTGTGTACTCAAAGTTTACTACTGTTATACTTAAAGTATATTTAAAAGTATACTTTTATATACTAGAAAGTGGGCCAATTTAGTCCCAAGGAGTATTACTACTAGTACACTGATATTTGTATACTTACTACATAAAGTATACTTAAATATATACTTGAACTTTACTTAAGCATACTTAATAAAATCAACTTGAAGTATACTACTTTTTGGTAAGGGTAGAAGCACAGTGAAGTCTATTATTAAGAAGTGGAAGGTATTTGATACAACACAGACCCTCCCTGGATCAGGAAGTTGCTACAAACTGGATGAAAGATTCAAGAGGAAACTGGTCAGAGAGGCTACCAAGAGGCCTACAGCAACTCTGAAGCAGTTGCAGGAATGTATGACAAAGAGTAGTCATTGTGTGCATGTGACAACAATATCACAAATTCTCCACAGATGTGGCTTGTATGAGGGGGGCCTCATTATTTGGCCTCAACTCCAAACAATATGTTTGGCGGAAATCCAATACAGCTCACCATCCAACTAACACCATTCCTACAGTAAAGCATGGAGTTGGTGATATCCTGTTATGGGGGTGTTTCACTTGTCAGGATAGAAGGAAAAATAGATGAGGCGAAATACCATCACATTTTTGAGGAAAATCTGCTGCCCTCTGCCAGAAAGTTGTCAATGGAAAGAAGGTTTACCTTCCAAAATGACAATGGGCCAAAGCACACAGCAAAACTGACCATACAGTGGTTGAAGGAGAAACAGGTGAATGTTCTTGCATGTCTTAGTCAGAGCCCAGACTTAAACCCCATTGAAATGACTCCCATTAAACCCCATCTGTGGAATGACTTGAAGACTG